TGAACACAATATTATCAGTTCTTACTAGCTGCATCCCTCAGATATCTGCATCCAACATGCACATGCCTCCTTTCCTGCCCTTTCAGTCAGTCAATCATTAAAACACACATAATCCAATTTATTTCCTTGCATAACTATAGACAAAAAGAACAGGGCTTATTTTTTTTAAAAAATGCAGCAAAACTGAAAATACTCTACCTTAACTTCCAGGCTATTTTATGGCTGTTTCATACTGAAGATTACTTATCAGTCCCCCAAATTCCATTAACTGCCAAGACCAGCACTTTTGTACATATGGCACAAATGTACAGCTGAAACCTCCTTGAAACTAAATGACCTCAGAAATCTGGTCTTCTTCAAGATCAAAAGAAAAGGCACTGATCATAATGAAGCTTCTAACTATGAATGTGTATGGCCAACAGAATATATAAAGGCAAAGGTCTAACAGGGTATCCTGACAACTAGATAAATGAGGGTTAAGGTTCCAAGTTCTGAGTTTGAGTGCAGTAGGTGGTGAGATCCAAGTGATTTCATTGACATCCACCAACTCTTATTTCCAACCAGGAATCCCAAGAATACCTTTAAATATGCAAGGCCAATAGACCCTACTGGGTTTCTCCTTGCAAGGGCAAAATGTCACTTAGGAACCCTGTGTCCTGGATATTTGATCAAACTGTGTCAAAGTTGATTTTGCAAAATGTTTAATTTATCTATAGTGAGTGAAAGACAGAAGGAAGGCATGGAAACAAGAACATCCCTTCTAAAGGGAGCATAATAGCTAACATGCAATGAACATGACAAATATCTCCCTGTATTTCCTGTGGCCACAGGGACTGGTGCTTCACCAGCGTGGGAATCAGCAGTCTGGGGGCATCAATGATAGTAAAGCAGGGACTTACCTTGTTGGAGGCCATCTCACTGACAGAGTGCCTGGTCTGCAGGGTCTCTAGTTGGTCCAGACACCAATCCAGTTCCTTCAGGGTCTCGCTGGCCAGTTTCTGGTAGGCCTCCTCTTCGAAGAGATAGGGATAGGGGGACTCAGTTCTCAAGCGCTTCACTGGGCCGCCAGCGAGTTCAAAGGGGGCCATCCTGCCATACCCCGCCATGCTCGGATGCCCGGTGCCTGCACATGAGGGCTGCTCCTTCATATTGCCAAACCCGGCAGCTCGATGGGGGCTGAGTCTCCACCCGCGGGGCCGTTGGCGACTGGAAGGCTCAGTTTCTCCAGCTTGACGTCGCAGGTAGGCCCCCAGGGAGGGCGTGCGAAGTGCGACAAGCCAACTTTTATTACGGGAACGGAGGTGGAATAACCACGATGCGACTTTTGGACAGCGCGGCGGGTATTAGTCCTAGTTCTGGAGGATGGCAAAGGGATGGCGCGCACGACTAGCAGCCGTCCCGCAGAACGACGTCGGGTCCACTGCCGGGTCTCCTCGGTCCCCGGCCCCGCGCCCGCCCCGCCTGCCAAGCCTTATGCTCGGCACTTGAAGCGAATGAATCAGCCGTGGCCGGGTGCGCGGCCACCACGTTTCCTGTTTTCTTTCTCAAGTCCTCGGGCGGCGGGCGCAGCGCGGCTCCATAGCCGCGGCTTTCCGGGAACTCTCCCCTTCACGCCCCTCGGCACTGTCTGGCTCCTCCTCAACTCCCTTACAAAAAGATTCCGAATTGCAAAAGCCCGTCCATGTCACCCGCTGCGTCCTTCCCCGCAGCCCCGCCACCTCGCCGTGGCATCACCCCGTGCAGCCGGGCGCCACTCTCTTTGAAGCGCAGCTGGGGAGGCGCGGGTGCTAGCGTGTCTGTAGGGCTGCTTTGGGGCTGTCTGAAGGAGGAGAGCGGCGGAAAACCCGGCGTGGAGCACCCGCAGCCCGCCGCCCGGGGTCGCCGTGGGGTTCAGGCGGGGCTCAGGGGGGACCCGACGCGCAGGCGCGTGTGATCGCGCACCTGCCCCGCGGGGACCCTACACATCCAGCGGAGGCGTTGGCCCTCTGGGTCTCCGGGACCTCCAGAGCCTCCTAGTTTCCACTCCTAGGCTTGAACGAGGTTATTGAAGACCCGCAAAATCGTTTCTGAAGGTTTATGTTTTGGGGTTTATGAGGTTCGCTTTCTGGGGGTTAGGACTTACTTTAAGGGAGCTGAGTTGGGGGAATAAGAACATTTCTATCAAAAGCAGACTCTCTCAGTACCTAGCCCACCCCGCTAAGTAGCAGATTTCTAAATTGGGGGGGTGGGGGTGGACATAAACAAAACATAGGGCTTTTAGGTCCAAAAGCCTAAGAGTCTGACAATGTACTGTGCTGCCTATTCACATAGAGAGTTACCCTAAGAGTTATCTTAAAGGAGCAAAGACATGAATGAACCACAGAGTAAGAGGAGTTCACACATGTCCTGAATACGTGCTTCCCTTGTGGAATTGCACAAGACCAGGATGATGTGAGGCCAAGGACAAAAGTCTGGAAAGGGTGTTTCTACCCCACCATGTGCAGACTAAACTACCAAAGCAGTAAAACACAAAAGACCATATCTAAAAGCAATGTAGGCAAAATGGTTCTGTTTATAAAGGCCAACCCAGGGGACCATGGTTCAACTCCTCTCTTAACATAAACGGATCACGATTTAGCGTGGAATTAAACAAGCCATTCCAAAGGAAAGAAAACCCAAAGTCCCAAGGTTCCATCTTATCCATCTTATAAAACTTTGTCATTCAAAGAAAAACACTGAAAAGCTTACATGAAGTTGTGGGGTCCCTTTCGGGAGTCCTCCAATCTATCAATATTGATGAAGAATAGAGTCTGCGCTTGAAATTTAGACTTCATAAATTAACAGTGGCCCAACAAAGAATTTCATGGACCAACTTACAGGATCCTGGGACTTTCCAGACAGGTTTTTACAGAAAATTTGTAAAGGTTACAGTAACTTTCAAACTATTTGTTACATGTGCCACGTGGCTTATTATCTAGAATTCTTGAACTGTTTGCTCTTCACTTTGAGTACTGTAGGTTTTGTCTCTTTTATTCTGTGCAACAGCCCCACCCCCACCCCCTTCACATTAATCTCTGTATCTCTGTAAATACATATTTTAGGTGGATGAACAACCACCTAAACCTTGCCTGGTTAAAATTTAAGATTGACACTTTTTTTTTAACCATAACAGAAGGAACAACCTTAAAGATAATTTAAATTGTAAGTTTAAAAGACTATAGTTTTTCTGTCATTATAAGGCTATAAAAATATTACATGATCCCTATTAAAAAGTAAAACATTACACATATAGAAAAGTCCCTTGTAGTCCCACAACCTAAGATCTCAAATGTTTCAGTCTATGGCTGTAATGCAACCATTTTCAATTTACTGAATCCTTTCCATATGTAAGTACAGCATTACCTAATTGCCATAGGTACCTCTACTCCATGGCTTTGTTGTTTTTTTTTCTTTTTTCCTCCTTCTGCTACATAAAATAGGGATATAGGAAATTGTAAGAGGAAATTAACTTATTTTATAGTCAGTTGAGTTGTCCATAGTTAGTAGATGGGTATATAGCATTGTGCAGGAAGTGTTCACTATCATCTTTTCAGTCATATGAAGACAGGAGTCCTCCTCTCATATCTCTAAGGTTTGACTCTCTATAGTCATCTCCCCTGCAATTCAACTCTCTCAAAGCCTGAGACCCAGGGGACCTCCCAGTACATAAAATGTCTCCCTCACCACCCCTCAACTTCATTTAACTTTCTAAAGTTTTTCTGAAATCAGAAGTACAAATTCAGGTCTCAGACCTAGCAGGATATGGTTCCAAGTATTATATTTCAGCCTTTATTTTTTAATGTGGAAAGGCAATTCAGGAAAGCTTCAGGTTAGAGACCTCATGTAGTTAGATATAGGATTTGCTCTTCGGAAGGCAATATAATGACAAAAAGGGCAATTTATTTCAGGTGATCCATTTTAAATTCAAATCATGGATTAGCCATTTGACTATCAAGATTTATGTGCCAACACAATATGGTGTTTTAAATTCTAACATCTTCTACAATATCCTATGTAAGTCTGAAAAATGACACACACACAAAGACCCAGAACATATCTAAATACCAGTCAGAAAATAATTACCACAGAATAAAGAACAGTTTGTTTTATAAACTTGTTGCTCAATAAAGAATTTTTGTTGATATTAGCATAGAACTGAGAATATCACTTTTTCCACATTCCTAAGTCAATAGGTAATATGGCTAGCCACAATTTTTCAGGATCCTTAAGCCTTCATTTTTAGGAATTTTAACCCAAAGTGTTCTAAGGCATTGATTAACTAGCCTTTTTATTTCTACCATTAAAAATGAAAAAGAGGGGCTGGAGTTGTGGCTCAGCTTACCTAGCACATGCAAGGCCCTGGGTTCGACCCTCAGCAACACATAAAAATAAATAAATAAAATAAAGGTATTGTGTCCCATTGCAACTAAAAAATTAAGAATATATATTTAAAAAAAGAAAGAAAAAAAAGTCTCAATGTGCAGTTGTCAGCTATCCTACAAGAAACTGAGTCACCACATAAATACCTAAATGCCATCTACAGCTGGCAGGTCAAAAACAGTGAAAGAGTTTAATTTTGTTTTTAACCAAGAACACATACTGCATTTATTAATAAAATACCCGCCCCCAAGAATAGTATACACCATAGCCCTACTTTAAAAAAAATATGAAAACCCTTTTATTTAAACTATCTAAAATCTCACTAAATCAAAGAATTAAAGAGAGAAAAACACCTAAGCAAAAAAACTATTGGCTAATATCCATAAGGCATTAGAGGGCTATGGAATAGCAACTGAGAAAGAACTTGAGCCTTTGGCACCCTCCCACCCCCCACCCCCAGCAGCATCGGTTTTCTCCAAGGCACCCTTGAACTATGTAACACCAGGGCTCTGCTCAAACCCTCCCGTGAACAAACAGTCCTCAGTGCCTGTGGGCCAGCACTTGGCTTCCGTCATTGTGATGCGCACAGGGTTCCCCAGACACACAGCCTGAAACAGTGCCAGGGGCTCCTGGAGAGGATGCTGAAGCAGCAGCTTCCCTTTGAAAAAGGCAAAAAGTCCCCAGCTCAGAGCCACAGCAGTGAGCTGGAGGTTGAGGTCATTTTCTTGTGAAATGTCCCATCCATTACTCTCACCCACAGCCTACAGCCCTGCTGACCACTGAGGTAAATGGATCCACTCTACAGGATGTGTAACTGTGTAGACGTTGGGTTTTGGCCAACATTTGCAGGGTTAAAGTCTGTTGCAATTCCTAGACAGACCTATTGCTGCAAATGAGAATAGGTCTAACAAATGCATGACTTATTTCTGATCCTATATGCATATTCTTAATTTTAAATAGAAATTATTACAGCTGATTCAGATCGTTTTTAAATTAAAACGATCCCATTAAACAGCTCCTACATGCAAATACTTGATACCTTTCTAACCAAATCCACTTTCTCCTTATTCCTGGCAAAGTCTTCTCCTTGTTCTTAAGGAAGGAGTTGAAAGTGGAGGTAGAACTGGAGAAAATGATTTCTACTTCACCGTGTATTGCTTTGAGCGAGACACTCCCGGACTTTGCTCTAGTAAGAGATTTGTGCAGGTTAGCTCTTAACTTTGCTGACAATTTTTTTTTTCCTCTGTAAATTTTATCTGATGGGAAATACATGAAGGCCCTGGATTCTCTTTCAATGTGTACATGTAATAGGTTTAAGCCAAACTTGCCAGTGGCAAGCTGCTTTTGATTCCAAGTGAATTTCTGGCATTGAGTTCTTGTTTTGAAGTATTTTAAAATCTTTTAATATATAGAAACTTTCACTCAGTACTTCAAAAAATGTCCAAAGTGAAGATAAGTATGATTTTAATTTTTTTTCTTTTATCTTTCCAGTATCTACCTCTCCCCACCCCACCCCCACCAGTGCTGCCTAAGGCTATAGTAGAACCTCTTGAGTGAAATAAACACAAGATTGAGTTTCCCTGACTTTTGGTCCCAGCAGTAATTCAGCATTTATTTAGCACCAGCTGTGTGTCAAATACTTTATTAAAGTCAGCAGGAACAAGATGATTACATGTGTGTCCCTTATCCAAGGGAACCTAGAGCCCAGCAGTGGAGACAATTTCAGCATACTGCATAGTAGAAAGTACTTTCAAAGAATGAAGTACATGGGCTATGGGATTATCAAAAAGGGCCATTTAAATCAGGTTGGGACAGAGGTGAAGAGGAAAAGGCGAAGTCCTACAGAAGAAAAGAGAAGGCAAGTAAAGAGGGTGAAAGGGATATTTAGGAGAAAACAAGCAGACACCTAGAACTGTGATCAACAAGATGTGTCTGTACGTGTGTATAGAAAATTGAGTTGTCATAAATAGGTCTTTGCTCAAAGAAAAAGAGGCTGGGGAAAAAATCTAAAGAAATCTGAGAAATTTGCAGACACTGGCCATGGAAATCTTCTCAGGCATCAGCAGGTAGGAGCTTTGGACTATCTTCAAAAGTAGGAGCCACTGAGTAATTCAGAGAACTGTGTGATACGCTATCTGATTTTAGTTTAGCTAGAAAATTCTTGAGATGTGCAATAAATGGGTTTACAGGAGTCAAGGCTGCAGTCAATGAGACCATTATCATTGACCATATTATTGCTAGAATAAAACTAAATAATTTATAGACCATTTGCTTCTCTGATGATTATTCTTACTAAGACAACCTCTGTATTAAAACCCTACAATTGGCATATGTTCTCCCAACATGGTCAGGCATGAATAGAGGGACTGCACAGTGTGACCTGAGAGGGGTAGGCTTTCTGCTCTCAAAAATTACAACCTTCTAGTCATTGAATTTTTAATCAAACTGTCATGAGAAGAGGGGTGCATATCATCAGAATTTCTTTCAGAGACAACCTGCCTGCAAGAAAGTGCTTAATAAGCCTACTTATGACAGAAATCCAGGCCTCGAGAAACTATGGGTTGGCTAAGATGAATTTGTGGCCTCTTCTTCCCAGGAAAACCAGAAGAATAGGATGATTGCTTGAGAATGAAGTTTGTGTGTGTGAGAGGTAGGTGGGGGGTGGGTAGAGAGAAAGCAGTCAGTCTGGTCTAAAGAGTAAGTCCTTCCTTAAGTTTTCCCTTCTCTCAATCTTTGAAAAAGTTCCTGAAGGCACAGATTGCTGAGTTGTTTTAACTCCCTGAAGGGATTGCACTTGAAGGCCAGATAGGCCTGAGCAGAATGTTTACCTGAGCTGAGAGAAGAGGCTGAGGAAGAGGATAAAAACTTCTAGAATTTGACTTAAGAATAATTTTTATCCAAATAATTTGAGTTTGAGCCAAGTTTAATCAGATATCTGGGTTGGTAGCTCCACACAACATGTATGTTATTATAAGCAAAATTATTCCTTGAGAGAAACTGGAGAAGTGGAAGATGTCTCCAATCTCTATTCCACTATTTACAAACCACAATCCCAAGACAATTCCCCCAATTTTTGTGCATTCTTATTTTTTCACCTATAGATTGGGGAGACAACAAGAACATTGTAGGTTATTTTAGTTTAAGTGAGAGATTGTGAGTCAAATAATCTTGCATTGCTTCCTTTATAGATTCTTTCCACATCCTCCTCCATTTAACCTTCCTTTCCACCTGGAGTTATCTCAGTACCTAACTTGAATAATTTTATTAATTAAAGTGAATATATCAACTAATACTTAGGGAAAACCTAGGACTCCAGTAGGTAATTTAGTAGGTAACTGGGACCGTTTTTAAGATACCTAGAAAGAAAAAAAAAAAGTTTTCAAGAAATAGAGAAAGGGGTCAGTCTAAAAATATATAATTTATAAATTTGTTTTAGGAAAACCTTGCTGCTAGATTTGGTACAGAATTTACATATATAATATCACCAGGGGACAACATACAACAAATCTAATGTCCTTTTGATATCTATTTTATTTGTGTTTAAATTAAAAGTGATTTCTCCCAAACACAAGAAAAATGAAGTGCCATATTTTAGATAAACTCATTCATTCATTCAACAACTTATCTGTAGGCACATTTGTAGTATATATCAGGCACTATATTAAGAGATGGAGATTTAACAATCACAAAATAGCCAAAAGTTACTGCCTACTCTCAAGTTTACACTCTACTGGTTATGAAGATCTTTTCATTTTAATACACAAATACAGAACATAAGTTATATGTCAGTTTCTGAGTACACTAAATGGAAGGAAATGACTTTGGACTTTAGGCTCCATTGAAGAACCAGGACAGTATTGTAAATTGTCCACTAAAACCAGGCAATCAGTATGATGCAATGTAAATACAAGGCAGAGATGGAAGACAGAAGAGGTGCCACTTGATGCAGCTTTGGAAAGACATGGAACAGCTTTCTGAAAGGAGCAAGGTCAGCCCTTAAGGATGAAATCTAGAGTTGACCAGATGGAAAACAGGAGGCAACAGAGGACAAACACATGTCATTGCTAGCTGGAACACACAGGCCATACAGGGAGCCACAGCAGATGAAGATGTGAAGGTTAGGCAGACCACAGGCATAGATAAAAGTGGAGAAGTAGTTTTGGAACAGTATTTAAGAGTTTATGGCTTTTGGAGGCACCACAATACCTGACTTCAAATTATGCTACAGAGCTATAGTAACAAAAACATCAAGGTCTTGGCATAAAAACAGACCCATAGATCAATGGCACAGAATAGAAAACACAAGACAAACCCACACACCTACAGCCATCTGATCCTTGATCAAGGCGCCAAAAAGATAGAAAAGATAGTCTTTTTAACAAATGATGCTGGGAAAACTAGTATGCATCTGTAGAAGAATGAAACTAGAACCTTATCTCTTACTCTGCACAAAAATCAATTCCCAATGGACCAGAGGCCTAGGAATTATACCAAGAACTATGCAATTTCTAGAAGAAAATGTAAGGTTAACACATCAGCATATAGATACAGGAATGACGTTCTCAATAGGACCCCTAAAGCTCAGGAAATAATCCCAAGAGTTAATAAACAAGATGACATCAAGTTAAAAATCTTTTGCACAGAAAAGGAAACTATTGAAAAGAGGAATGTGAAGAGAGAACCCACAGAATGGGAGAAAATCTTTGCTAGCTATTCCTCTGTCAGAGGATTAATATCTATAATATATAAAGAACTCAATAAACTTCATGCCAAAAAAGCAAATCACCTGATTAATAAATGGGCAAATGAATTAAACAGACTCTCCTCAAAAGAAAAAATACAAACGACCAATCAACATATGAAAAAATGTTCAGCATCATCAGCAATTAGGGAAATAGAAATCAAAACTACACTGAGATTTCATCTCATACCAGCCATAATGGCAGTAATCAATAATACAAATAATCATAAATGCTGGAGAGTATGTGGAGAAAAAGGAACACTTTTATACTGCTGGAGGGATTGTAAATTAACACAACCACTATGGAAATCATACGGAGGTTCCTCAAAAGACCAGGAATAGAACCAACATATGACCCAGCAATACCACTCCTTGGTATTTATCTTAAAAGAATTAAAGTCATCATCTTGCAGTGATACATGCACACAATCATGTTTATACCAGCACAGTTCACAATAGCCAAACTATGGAACCAGTCTAGGTGTCTATCAATGAATTGATAAAGGAAATGTGGTATATATACAATATGTAGGTTTATTCAGTCATAAAGAATAATGAATTTATGGCCTTTGAATGAAAATGGAACTTGAGACCATCATGTTAAGTGAAACCAAAACTCAGAAGGTCAATGGTGATATGTTTTCTCTCATACGTGGAAGCTAGAGAGGAAAAAGGAAAAGAAAGGTGGGGACATATCTCATGAAAATCAAAGGGAGATCACTAAAGGAAAGGGACCAAGGGGTAGGAAGTGGGGAGGGAGGGGGAAGTACTGGGGAATGATATTGGCCAAATTATATTGCTATATTGTGAGTATGTATGAATATGTAACAAATCCCATCATTATACGTAACTATAATGCATCTATAAAAATGTGGGAAAAGAAGCTTATTGTCTTTTTCTGAACGATTCATAAAACATCTACTATGCTACAAGTCATGTAGTCAAATTTGCTTCTAGAATGATTGCTCTGGGAATGGAATGAAAGGAGGATCTGGAGAATGATAGGCCAGTATAGGGGTTGACGGTGAAATAAGGAGAAGATT